GCCACCATGGAGGCAGAATCAGGTCTCTTTAAAAAACAACACGTCATCATAAGGCGCTCTCTTCATCCTCTGACATGGGAGCTGGCTCGGAGCTCGTCTGCCTGGCTGTGTGTTTCCTGGACGGGGCCGCCTGTGGAGCTGGTTGACAGTTGCCTTTTGTATCTATGCTTCTTTTTCTATGTCTGCTTCTGTCTCCTTGAACCCCAGTGGGCCTCAGCAGATGGCCGCTCACACTGAGCCTGGTTCTGCTGGAGGTTTCTTCCTGTTCAAAGTAGGGGTTTTTCCTCTCCACTGTCGCTACAAGCATGCTTAGTGTGAGGGATTGCTGAAGAGTCAATGAGTCGATGCAATCAGCTGGTTTTCCTTAGATAGAAAACTTTGAATCAATCTGACTGGATGATCTGGTGAACTGGAAAGTGACCTGAGATGACATGATGTGAATTGGAGCTATAGAAATAAACTGCATAGAATGGATGTCATCGCTGGGGTTCTGAACCGGAAGTGCATGTTGTTGTTTATTTCAGCGCTGATGCTGATGAAGAGGAGGGTTCAGCAGCGCGTTGAAAACATTCCGGAACAGATTCATCCTTCGTTCTTTGACAGCTGCAGCTACGTCAAAGTGACGCCACATAGACCGGAAACAAAGCTGCAGAGCTACAAAATAAAAGCCTCGTCAGAAAACGCATAACCTTTTTTGTTGGATAAACAGAATATTTTACAGCAAAAGGAAGCTGCTGATAATCCAGTCAATGATTGTTTAATACAATAACACTGAAAGTTAAAGTTTTGGTATTTTAATTCCTTCTTGAATTTGCACTTTAATCCTTTTTTTCTCAGACTGATTGTCTGCTTTCAGCTTTTGAAATCTGGATATTTCTGATCTCTTCTTGGCCTATTTTGCTGATTTGTTTTTTTCTTCAGGAACTTAAAATCCTAATCATATTCAGATCACAATATGTGACTTCCACTGATTGTTCTTTATTCTAACATAGAGATACTATTGTACCTCCTACAGTTTGCACTATTAAAAACTGCAATGAAAGTCCAGTTCTCCTGCAGATCGACCAGAACTGAGGAGCATTAAGATGAATCAGAGACATTCTCACCTGGATCAGAACATCAACACAATGTCAGCGGATGGATGGATGGATGGATGGATGGATGGATGGATGGATGGATGGATGGATGGATGGATGGATGGATGGATGGATGGATGGATGGATGAATGATGGATGGATGGATGACGGATGGTTAATTAAAGGATGGATGGATGGATGGATGGATGATGGATGGATGGATGATGAATGGATGGATGATTAAAGGATGAATGGATGGATGATGGATGGATGGATGGATGATGGATGGATGGTTAATTAAAGGATGGATGATGGATGGATGGATGATTAAAGGATGGATGGATGGATGATGAATGGATGGATGATGGATGGATGGATGATTGATGGATGGTTGATTAAAGGATGGATGGATGGATGATGGATGGATGGATGATGGATGGATGGATGATGGATGGATGGTTGATTAAAGGATGGATGGATGGATGGTTGATTAAAGGATGGATGGATGGATGGATGGATGATGGATGGATGGATGATGGATGGATGGATGATGAATGGATGGATGGTTAATTAAAGGATGGATGGATGGATGGATGGATGGATGGATGGATGGATGGATGGATGGATGGTTAATTAAAGGATGGATGGATGGATGGATGGATGGATGGATGGATGGATGGATGGATGGTTAATTAAAGGATGGATGGATGGATGGATGGATGGATGGTTAATTAAAGGATGGATGGATGGATGGATGGATGGATGGATGATGGATGGATGGATGGATGGATGGATGATGGATGGATGGTTAATTAAAGGATGGATGGATGGATGATGGATGGATGGATGGATGGATGATGGATGGATGGTTAATTAAAGGATGGATGGATGGATGGATGATGGATGGATGGATGATGGATGGATGGTTAATTAAAGGATGGATGGATGGATGATGGATGGATGGATGATGGATGGATGGATGATGAATGGATGGATGTTAATTAAAGGATGGATGGATGGATGATGGATGGATGGATGGATGGATGGATGATGGATGGATGGTTAATTAAAGGATGGATGGATGGATGATGGATGGATGGATGATGGATGGATGGATGATGAATGGATGGATGTTAATTAAAGGATGGATGATGGATGGATGATGGATGGATGGATGGATGTTAATTAAAGGATGGATGGATGGATGATGGATGGATGGATGATGGATGGATGGATGGATGGATGATGGATGGATGGATGGTTAATTAAAGGATGGATGGATGGATGGATGATGGATGGATGGATGGATGGATGGATGGATGGATGGATGGATGGATGATGGATGGATGGTTAATTAAAGGATGGATGGATGGATGATGGATGGATGGATGATGAATGGATGGATGTTAATTAAAGGATGGATGATGGATGGATGATGGATGGATGATGGATGTTAATTACAGGATGGATGATAGATGGATGATGGATGGATGGATGATGAATGGATGGATGTTAATTAAAGGATGGATGGATGGATGGATGATGGATGGATGGATGATGAATGGATGGATGTTAATTAAAGGATGGATGATGCAGTGATGCGATGATGGATGATGGATGGATGATTATATGCATCATGCAAACCATACCTATTTATTCAAAGATGGATGATGGATCATGGAATGGATGGATGCATGGATGATGGATGATGATGATGCATTAATACAAGGATGGATCATGGATGGATGGATGCGATGTCATGGATGATGATTGGATGTATTGGCATGATGCATTGATGATATCATTGCATGGATGGATTCGATGATATGGATATGGATCATATGATGGCAAGTATGGATTCATCGGATGTATTGATGTGTATTGCATGCATGAACTGGATTGATGTTACATTAAAGGATGGATGTGATGAATGATGAATCATGGATTCATGAACCAACCTGATGATTCATCTAAAGGCATGGATTATATCATGGATGATGTAAGAACTGGAGTTCAATTACAAGGCATGATATGTATGATGATGGATGATGATCGATGATGCGATGATTCGAATGCATGATGGCATGAGGATGATGGTACATTAACAGGATGCGATGGATGGTCATGATGGATGGATTGTATCATGCATTGATGATGATCAATGGATGATGATTGGATGATATGATTGATGATGTTACAATTCAAGGATGGATTGGATTGATGGCATTGATGATGGATGTATTGGATTCATGGCATTGGAGTTATTAACAAGTCATGCATAGGATGGATGATTAATTATGATTCGATTGGATGATGCATGATATGGTGAGGCATTCATACCAACCCAGGTCATTATTATTCTATTGGCATTCATTATGGATGATAGATGTCATGATGGATGATGAACCGACTGATGTATATTACAGATGGATCATGGATTCATTCACATCGATTCATCATAACCAACCTTCATTCAGCATTCATCATTCATTGCATTCATGTCAGTCATGATCATGTGCATCAGCCATGTCATGCATGAACCGGACCTGGCATTCTCATGCATCATGCATTCAGTCATCATTCATTCATTCAATATCCATTCATGTCATAACCAACCCTTCGATTCATACTCATTCATCATATCATTCATCATCCATTCAATTACATGAAACCCTTCATATTGATTATCATATTAATGCATTGCATCTCCATCATTCAAACCGAACCCTCATTCATGTCATGCATGGATGCATGATATCATGGATCCATTCAATTCAAACCAACCCTGATGCATTCATGGATTCATCATTCATATCATTCACATCATTCAGTTCATAACCAACGCCTTCATGATCATAATGCATCATTCATTCATTGCATCATATGTGATGTATTCATGCATTGCATTGATCATTGCATATCATTGAACCAACCTTACAGGATCGCATGATGGAATATGTCATGATGCATGATCATTGGATTGATGATGATGCATGGCATTCGATTATGATGAAGTATTATCATGTGATGATTATTAACAACTGGTGATGTATGATTGATGGTATATGATGGATGTATTAATTAACAGATGATTGCGATGATCATGATATGGATATAATGGATGGATGGATGTATTAATTAAAGGACCTGATGCATGGATATCGATGGATGTATGATGATTATGATGCATATCGATGATTAATTAAAGAGATATGCGATTCAATGCATGGATGGATGATCATTATCATCAGGCCATGTCATTCATTAACAACTGATTCATTGATTATGATGATGGATGATGGTGCATGGATTGATGCATGACATGCATCGATTCATTCATAACCAGACCTGGATGCATGCATGCAGTCATATGCATCATGCATGGCATTGATATGATCATCGCGATGTATTCATACAGACTGGATATACGATCATGCATCAGATCCATGCATTCATGAATCAACCCTTCTAATTCATCATTCATATGGCATTCATTCGGATCATCCATTCATGCAAACCAACCCTGTCATTCATCATTCAAACATCATGTCATCATTCGATGCATGCGATGGATTCATAACCAACCCTCATGATATTCATTCATCATTCATTCATGCATAATCCGAACCCTTCAATTCAGTATTGATGTCATTGCATCATGATGCATGTATTCATGCATGCACCATATGCATTATAAACCAACCCTTGATGATTCATATGGATGGATGCATGCATTCATATATGCATGCAGATCCCTCACTGATCGACTAACTCACCATCATGATCGATCATTAATTACAGTTGTACCAACCACACTGAATGCCCAGCCCCATTCGACCTCTCACAACCAAAAGCCAGTACCCACCGTGCCCGGTCTAGACTCTCTATCCTAGAACGCAACATACTCGCACAACTCGCACCATGGACCGGATTCTGGGAGGCATCGACCTGACCATGATCCTCCCTCCTCTCACCTGCGGGTCGAACCAGCTCTCCCATCCAGGTAGGGTCCCACCTCCTCCAGCTGGACCGGTTCCGGGCAGCCCGCCACCCCCCCCATAACCCCCCAGGCTGCGGGCTTGCCCCCTTTATAAGCCCCCTCTTTGTGCTCCTTTTTTTAAAATGATGTTACAAGGCTTAGCTTTTGGCCCAGGGCTTCTTTTAAAAGGCGAATTTTTGGAAAAAGGGGGTTCAAACTTGTAGAGCCTTTTTTGGCTATTAGTTTCAAGTTTTTAACTAAACTTTTTTTAAAAAAAAAAATGGGAAAAAGGCCCCTTTTTTTCCTTTCCCCTTAGGCCGTTCCCTAAAAGGCGCCAACCCCGGGGGGCCCCCCATTGCCGTAAAAGAAAGGGCGCCCTCAGGGGGGGAAGAGCTCCTCTTTCAGCCCTCTAGCTTTTAAAGCTGCACCCTTCCCCCCTTCTTTTAAAGCTCCCATTCAGCTCCCTTCCCCCCCATGCAGCTCCACTGCAGCCCTCTTTCAGCCCCCAAATTCCCCCACCCTCCTTTTTAGCTTACAGCTTTAGGTTTCCCTGCAACCCTTCCTGCAGCTCCTCATGAGCTCCTCATTAGCTCCTCTTTAGCTTGGCAGCTTCCCAAAGCTCCCAGCCCCCTTCCCCAAAACCGCTCCCCCCCCCTTCTTCCGAGTTTCCTCTAGGTTTCCCTTTTCTCCCCAGGCAGCCCCTATGCGGGAAACCCCTCTGAGTTTTAAAGCATTCCCTTTTAGTTTCCCTGCCTCCTCTTTTAGCTCCCCCACCCTATCCTCCCCCAAAAGCTCCTCTTTTAGGAACCCCCTCAGCAACCCTCACTCCTCCTGCAGCACCTCCTCCTCCCCTCGCCCACCTTCCTCCCCTGGGACTCCTTTCCCTCCTCACCTTTCCCCAAGCCCCCACCTCCCTCCTTTCCAGTTTCCCATTTGCCCCTCATAAGCTCCTCCATTTTAGCCCTCACCCTCATTCACCTCCCATTTCCCCCTCTAAAGCTCCTCATGCAGCCCCTCATTTAGCCCCTAGCCCTCCTCATGAGCCCTCACCCCTCCTTGCAGCTCCTCTTTTCCCCCTAACTCCTATACCCCCAAATCACCCTTTCATTAGCCCTTACTTCAGAAACCCCCCCAAAAACTCCCCTGCAACCCTCATTAGGGTTTCCTTTTTTAGCTCCTCATTCATTTCCCTCCCATAGCTCCTCATGCAGCTCCTCATTTAGCTCCTCATGCAGCTCCTCATGAGCCCCCCTTCTTATACTCCTCACAGCTCCTCATTTAGTTTCCCTTTCCTCCCCCAATGCAGGGCCCCCCTCCCCCCATGCAGCTCCTCTTCTTTTTCCTCCCCCCTTTCCCCTTCCCTTTTTTGGGGGGCGCTCCCATTTTAGCTCCCCTCCTCCTCCTCATTCCCAAAAGCTCCTCATTATTTAGAAGGGAGCTTTTAGCTCCTCAAGCTCCTCATAGCCTCCTCATAGCTCCTCTTTTAACTCCCCCCTGAAAGCTCCTCAAGCTCCTCTGCCCTCTTTTAGCTCCTCAAAGCTCCTCATTTAGCTCCTCATGCAGCTCCTCATGCAGCTCCTCATTTAGCTCCTCATTCAGCTCCTCATTCAGCTCCTCATTTAGCTCCTCATGCAGCTCCTCATTTTTAACTCCCAGGGCAGACTATCCCCCCCCCTATGAACTCCTCTGCAGCCCTCTGCGCTCCCTTTTTGCTCCTCTTTCAGCCCCTTTAGCTCCTCATGCACTCCCCCATTTAGCCCTCATGCAGCTCCAAAAGCCCTCATGCCGAGCTCCTTCTTTTTAGCTCCCCCCTTTTAAGCCTCCTCTTAGTCCCTCTTTTACTCCTCTTTTTAGTTTTCCTCTGCAGCTCCCATTTAGCTCCTCTTTTAAAGCTCCTCTTTTAGCTCCTCAAGCAAGCACCTTTTGGCCCTCACACTCCTATTTAGCTCCCTAGCAGCTCCTCATTTAGCTCCTCATGCAGCTCCTCATGCAGCTCCTCATTTAGCTCCTCTGCAGCCCTCTTTTCCCCCCGCTCCTCATTTAGCTCCTCATGCAGCTCCTCATTTTTAGATTTTTAGCTTCCTCATGCATTCCTCATCACTCCTTTTTTAAACCCCAAAGCCCCTTTCCCTCTTTCAGCCCTCTCCCTTCAATCCCTTCATTTACCCTCAAAAGCACTCCTCATTTAGCTCCTCATGCAGCTCCTCATTTAGCTCCTCATGCAGCTCCTCATGCAGCTCCTCATTTAGCTCCTCATTCAGCTCCTCATGCAGCTCCTCATTTAGCTCCTCATGCAGCTCCTCATGCAGCTCCTCATTTAGCTCCTCATTTAGCTCCTCATTTAGCTCCTCATGCAGCTCCTCATTTAGCTCCTCATGCAGCTCCTCATTCAGCTCCTCATGCAGTCACCTCCTCCTAGATTCTTGGATCCTCCTCCATCATTGC